ATGTTTTGCTCAGCTGCAGAACTCATCAATCGCAACCCACATGTCCTCAGACTTCCCCAATGTGTCCGGACACTGGCGATATTGTGCTTCCTCAAGGTGTCCTGAGACTGGCCATGTTATGGGTGCCCCAATGTGTCCGGACACTGGCGATATTGTTCCTCAAGGTGTCCTGAGACTGGTCATGTTATAGGTGCCCCAATGTGTCCGGACACTGGCGATATTGTTCCTCAAAGTGTCCTGAGACTGGCCATGTTATGGGTGCCCAATGTGTCCGGACACCGGCGATATTGTTCCTCAAGGTGTCCTGAGCCTGGCCATGTTATGGGTGCCCCAATGTGTCCGGACACCGGCGATATTGTTCCTCAAGGTGTCCTGAGACTGGCCATGTTATGGGTGCCCCAATGTGTCCGGACACTGGCGATATTGTTCCTCAAGGTGTCCTGAGACTGGCCATGTTATGGGTGCCCCAATGTGTCCGGACACTGGCGATATTGTTCCTCAAGGTGTCCTGAGACTGGCCATGTTATGGGTGCCCCAATGTGTCCGGACACCGGCGATATTGTTCCTCAAGGTGTCCTGAGACTGGCCATGTTATGGTTGCCCCAATGTGTCCGGACACCGGCGATATTGTTCCTCAAGGTGTCCTGAGACTGGCCATGTTATGGGTGCCCCAATGTGTCCGGACACCGGCGATATTGTTCCTCAAGGTGTCCTGAGCCCGGCCACGCTCGGCTACACCTTCGCTCCCACGTGAGCTGTATTCCTTGAAATGTGGTCACAATAACATTTATTCTGTATTCTTAACATGACAACTAAACGGGTAAAGGATATTTATTCCCAACTGTGTCTTCCAGCATATTCCCAATTCTGCGATAACTGAAGCAACATTTGTAAAGAGATAAGCACAAATTGTGTTAGATAAATGCAATTTATATTTAATTTATATTTATAGACAATTTATATGTTAGTGTGGATCACGCATAGCGTTCCGGGCAGGTCCTTAATCTTAATATTCCCCGGAATACGACCCGCCAAATCGTTTATCAACCAGGTACGCATTCCCTGCTGGGTGAACAGAGGCGTACACCTAAGGGTTGGTGCCCAGTCAATCTTCCCTGCCCAAGGGCTTTGCAACAGTCATATACGGGACGTTGGGGGATGCTAAACCACCTTGCAACGGGTGCCATCTGAGCCGGCAAGTGCAAGGCATGCTGGCCTGAGCTACAGCTATTGTGGAGAACTGTCTCTATATGTAACAGTAGCTCAGTGGGCTACGTTCTTGACTCACAACCGCGGGTTCAATTCCTGGACAGGAGGGAGACGGTTGGACATGTTTCCTTTTTACCCGATGTCGCTGTTCACCTAGCAGTAGGTACCTTGGATTTAGGCAACTGTTGAGGCTTGCATCCTGATGATGGTGAGGCCTAGGGTGGCCCTCGATAAGCCTAATACAGGCTGCCTGTCCCCCGGTGGCTGGAATAATAAGGTTGAAAGATGTTCATTGGGATATATATATTGGTTCAGTCCGTCCTCTCCAGCGATGACAACGTCACTATACTGATGTACTTAATTACTCGAACCTAACCTACCCAAGGACCCATGAATAGAAAACGGGACAATTTTGCGAGCCGCTGTGATTTACAGTACGCCAGTTTAGGGCCTTAGGTGATTTATACGTCAAAATACAATGCATTATTCCAGAGGACGGACAGCCCGTCGTCTGGAGCGCTCACCGTCACTAAAACGATGTACTAAACAGTGTAAGACAGGTGGAAGACAGGCGGAAGACGGGCGGAAGACAGGAGGAAGACAGGAGGAAGACGGGCGGAAGACAGGAGGAAGACAGGAGGAAGACAGGAGGAAGACAGGAGGAAGACAGGAGGAAGACAGGAGGAAGACAGGAGGAAGACAGGAAGAAGACAGGCGCCTCAACCAGTGCCCAAAAAGTTTTAAACCAGATCACTTTAAACTGAAGGTGCATCAGGGACAATGGCCCCGTTAGTGTGAACAACGGCCACAAGTTCCTAGAAATATTAACCGGAGATATACTGGATATTGGACGATAGGCCTTTTATTTATGGTACATATAGGCCAGGATTTGTCAAGCATAGTTGTGTCTATTTACGAAACCTGTAGATCTTTCCTCGACCATAGCGGCTGTGTTCGTATTCATTAAACAGTTTACGAGCCTCAAAACATCGTAACTCAGTGTTATAACTGATATAAATCACCTCGTAGGGCAACCCGTCCTCGACTCCAAGTCCATTCCATCCAGCGGTCGACCCCACAGACGCATTCATAAGTTTTAACATGCTGTTCATTCAAAATAGGAATTTTCTCAAATATAAATAAATATTATAATATATTAGCATATTGTGCATATATAGACATAGGTGAGGTTAGGTGTTTAGGTTCTGTTGGCGATTATTTGTATTTGTAGTACGTGGGTGAAGCATTTATAGCGTTGTGGTTCGAACAAAAGTCGTCAGTGAATCACTTG